TCTTCTTCTTCTTCTTCTTCTTCTTCTTCTTCTTCTTCTTCTTCTTCTTCTTCTTCTTCTTCTTCTTCTTCTTCTTCTTCTTCCTCTTCCTCTTCCTCTTCCTCTTCCCCTTCCCCTCCTCCTCCTCCTCCTCTTCTTCCTCTTCCTCTTCCTCTTCTTCCACTTCCTCTTCCTCCTTAATTTGGTACTAGGAATCAAAGTCAGGAGCTTTCGCATGCCAGGAAGACACTGCTGCTGAGCTACATTCCTGGTGCCTGACCCTGGTCTTTACCAGCAGAATTTCCATCAGCCTTTTGATCTTCTGGGCTCTGACCAGAATCTCCCCTACAGAACAGCCTGAGGTGCTCCAGCTCTACCCTCTTGGGAGACATCTCTGAACCTTCCCAGGTTCTTTCCACAGCCATTCCCAAAAGCTCTAGAAGCACGCTGTCAGATACAGTCTCGGCAATGGCCCCAAGTCTCTGGTATCAAGTTCCATTTCAGTTATTTTTCTCCCATTGCTGAGACAAAACACCTGACACCCAAAATTAAGGAAAAAAGGTTTATTTATCTCACGGTTTGTAGAAGTTTCTACATCAGCTGGCTCCAGCCAGGGCGGCATCTCACAGAAGCAACACTTCTAGGCCGTAGGGGCAGCAAAAGCAACCAGAGTAAAAGGGAAGCAAGCCTCTCTTCTTCCCTGATATTGTAACCAGGCTCCCCCTTTGTGGGTTGTTGTAGCACTCACACTATCTCAGTCACCTCATCTTGCACAGGCTGAGGATGTTTACAAAGTGAGAACCCTGGCCCTCTGCTGAGTCACTTTGTTAAACTTCTGAACCTCACAAGTTGGCACCTGGATTTAAAAGGCAGGATAATGACGTCAATTACAGAATAAGAAGAAGTCCTCCTCGAGGAAAGAGAGGTAACAGAGAGCTTATGGGCGGGGCTTGGGACAGGTCTTCAAGCATCTTCTTTGTCATTCTCTGAGGTTTCTCCATTGCTGCCTTTGCTCTTTGGGTCTGATAGGCACCAGCCCAGCTCCGCTGCCCTGTAGGAAGGCAGCTGCTTCTTCCTGAGGATTCTGAGTCAATGCCAGAGGCCACAAGCATGCCTGTGGAACCCATCGCCAGGCCTGTCAGAGTGCTAGGCAGGGCTTCATTGTGCGTCTGGGGTCATCGAGGAACAGGCTGCCCACGGAATTAGGCATTGCATATGCGAGTGCTGGAAGGGCTGGGGGTCATCTTCATACCAGCAAGAAGACACAGGCTGTGTCTTCCTGTCCCTGTGTGCTGACAGGGTCACAGTGGTACAGGAAAGAGGTGACCTTAGGGCACTACAGCGCGCTCCTCTACCAGGACTCTGGCTTGGCGGGAAAGTTCCCTCAGATGCGACTGCCTTGCCGCTCCTGGCATTCCACCCACCGCAGCCTGGGCTGAGACTGCACCAGCTCTCCCCATGTCTGCTCCTCTGCTGCTGTGAGGAGCAGAGGCCCCTGTTCGCACTCTTCAAGTGCACAGGCAATCATGTTTGAAGATGGCTTCTCTGTAGCTTCTCCTGATAATGCCTTACAGGACAGCAAACTGAAAACACGTGCCACCTTCTATTTAATGTTCCTCTTACCTTTAGAAATGGCAGTGCTTGGTTGGTGGTCTGCTTGATAGAGAAGACACAGGTTTTAAGCCTATGGTGGCAAGAATGCCAACGTTTGTCATCTTAAGTGAGTGGAAGGCACAAATAGTCCATTAGGTCAGTTCTGGGCAGGACTTGGTTCATGTGTTTATCTCTATATGTGATGATTCTGAGCTCTGGCTGGATTTAAAAGGGTTGATTTAAGGACCTGGAGCCTGCGAAATGATTGTCCCTTACCCTGTTACCCTTTCCCCATTGTCTTCTACCTGCTCAGCACCTGGTGGCCCCACTTGTCCATACAGCTCTGTGCAAATTAAGAAATCACCCTGTTCACCTGTCAAACATTGCCATGACAGAATAAAAAACCTCCAAGGGTAATTGCCATATGAATGGGGAGCTCGCCATGTGTCTTCCTTTCCTAAAGATGCTGGGAAGTTCTAGAGCATTCTGCCAATAGCCTTTCTCTCTCAAAACTAAGGATGCACTCAGATCTGAAGAGAGGGAATCAGATGCGGGTGTCAGCTGGGCAGAGAGGACTTCCACTTTGTCATGTTTACTTCCAGGAAACCAGTAGCCATTTTCATTTGGACCCCTTTCCTTAAATTACAAACAGCAAGTCACAGGAATCACAGGTCCTCAGAAGCATTAGTGTAGGAATGTTTTTCAACCACTGAACAGTTTACCCTGAGCATCACTTCAGCAGGGCTCATTTCAACCAGTTAATTCTTGTACCGAATAAATTTGATAAAATTGTCATTTTTATAGTTCCTCTTATATTATCTTTTAAACATTAACAAAAAGTATAGAATTTTTGGTCACCCTGTATTTAAATAATTGAACTGGGAAGTGGTTAAAGCTATGGCACTGAGTGGTATAAATTTTCACTGTGGAAATAAATGCAGGCTGGCGCTGTTAGCATGCTTGTCAACAATCACCCTTGGCAGAAGGCTTGAGTCCCTAGAATCTGGCCAAACTCACTAATGCATATTGCCCTCAAGAATTCTAGGGGAGATTAAGTCATCCTTATACTCAAAACAAGCCCAAGGCTCTCAGGGGATAAGAAAGCCAAAGATACACTGTAATATAGAGGGGGTGCAACCTGCACCCCAGCTGTGTTTCAAATAGATAATTTATCATATATACATGGATCACTACATAGCCAAACCATTTCTATAGCTTTCAGAACACGACCACCAGAGTACAATCACAGAACAGGGTGGGACCGATGCTGGGCGTAGAATCGAGGGTGCTCAGTGTGTCCCAGTTGCTGAATGGAGGTGGCTCCATGCAGTCCTACAGCCATCCAACCCCATTCAAGTTCACAGATGAGGCTGAGGCAGGCAAGGCACTCAGCCAGGGCAGGGCCCTCCAGACACAGGTTCCAGGGCAGCGTGTGTCTCTCTCACTCCTGCCCTGAGGGAACCTGGAGGAAGGGCTTGCTTTCCTCCAGTGGGGACCAGAACAAGGAGACAGAGTGCTGCGCTCAGTCCGCACTTTGGCAAGGCTACCTGCTCCACTGTCCGTTGGTGGCAAACCCCCAGGTGAGTCATTCAGAAGGATGTCCTTGATCTGTGGCCTCAGGACTTGGTGGGCTGGCAGGTTCAGAGTTCTCAGAGACCCCGGACATCACCTGTCGCTCTCTGTGCTTATGTCACTAGAATCAGTGCATCTATTTAAAACAATGGATGCCATCAAGATGGCCACTGCCATCCAGGTGGCTGCTGGTGTGTCCCAGTGAGACTGTGTGGGTTTCTGAAAGTCAACTCTTGCATCTTCTGTCTCATGCTGTGGCATTTCCTATAGCTCAGGATCATGGGTACTGGCAGTAGGGAAGGTCAACATTAAGATTTTTTAAATAGATTTTTTAACAAGTTGAAGTCCAGGTGAGGAGGAGATGTGACGGGGTTGGCTCAGCAGACAGTGTCCCCAGGTACACTCTAGTCCTTAGGCCCAGGGCTCAGGCCCAAAGCCACTTACATGTCCTTGGGGAGGGCAGCCTCACTCTGCTGCAAAGGCACCGGGAATGCCACTGGGAAGGGGGCTCCGCCATGCAGAATGCAAAGGAACACACAACACTAGGCACTTTGTCTCCAAGGTTTCATAAATAACTGGGCAGCGGGGGACACAGAGCCTGCGGCCTATAGCTTGTTCTCCTCGAAGAGGATCTGCGCGTAGACTGTGCTGCTTGGGGGGCCCTTCGCAGCCCGAGGGGGCTTGGTCAGCTCCAGCTCAGCGTAGGTCAAGTTCTCCTCAGCAATTTTGGGCTATTGAAAAAGAAAGAGAGAAATAAAAAAGAAAACCACCATGCTAGCTGACCACATGCAGCTCCACACTCAGACTTCAAACAAGAATATCTGTAGCATTTGGGGATTTAGAGGAAAACAGTGAACACAAGCATTGTAAAGGGTATAAAACTTTATCATTATCAAGCTAGATAGATCTCACTGTTATATCCGGCTCTCTATGCCCTACATGTAGACACTGATGCAGGTATGTTAAAGCAGATATGAACACTCACAAAATTACTAATCCCTAGGCCTTGAAAAATAATTTAATTCTGAAAAGTCAAGCATAACTAACGGTTTCTGATTAGAAAGAATGATAAAGGTGGAAACCAGAAAAACTGTCCTAGGTAATAATAATGAACCTAGAAATCTTTGTAATCTTTATATAAAGCTAAAATTTCAGAGTATCTTGGAAATATGATTCTTAAAATGTTGCTTGCCAAGGGTCAGGGATACAGCTCAGCAGCATAAGCACCTGCCTAGCAAGTTAAGGTCCTGAGTTCTATCCCTGGTACCACAAAATAAAA